GTCCTTGATGTTGTCAAAGACATCCTGGTGCTCTTGCTCCCAGAGCCAGTCGACGTCCTTCTGAAGGAGACCCGACGAGGGCTTGGCGAATCCCGCGTACCTTGCGCTGGACTTGTGAAGGTAGTTAGCCAAGCCCAACCACTTTCGAAGATCCTTCTGGGATCGGGGCGTTGGCCATGCTGCTATGGCCCTGACCTTTTCTGGGTTAGACCGAACGCCCACGTTGCTTACGAAGCAACCGAGAACCTTAATCTCTAGTGACGCGAAGACGCACTTGTCGATGTTGGCGTAGGGCTGGTTCGCTCGTATCACGTCCAACACTCGACGGAGGTGTCCTAGATGCACCTCCATGGCCGTCTTGCCTCCATCGGCCCGGCTATGGACGAATATGTCGTCGAAGTACGTCAGTACAAAGGCGCGCAGTGGTCTAAACAATTGCGTCACCAGGCGATTGAATCTCGCTAGGGCGTTGGACTAGCCCTGCGGCATGACGAGCCACTCCCAAAGCATGCCGCTTGGAGTGCTCACGGCGGTGAGCGGGATGTCGCTCTCGCGCATCAGGATCTGGTAGTATCCGTCTACCAAATCCAGCGCACTGTACAGTACGCTTCTGGCCATGTTGTTTAGCATCACATCCTTTCGTGGGATTGGTGTTTGGGCCAGCACCGTCGCGTTGTTCAGCTTGTTATAAGCATGAACTAGACGTCACTTTCCATTTGGCTTCCGAGCGCAGAAAGTTGGCGTCAAGTGCGGGGACTTCGACTTCCACACCATGCCTGCCGTCGCTTTTGCAGCGAAGAAGGCATCAATGACCTCGCACTGTTCGTGCGGAAGAGACCATTGCCTCGTGACACAGTACTTTGTGCCAGGCACGAGATCGATCTCATGCCGTACGCCTCGATCTGGTGGGAGTTGGGTCGGTGGGTGTTTGCTCAACACGTCCGCATACTCCGTCACCAAAGGATACACCGGATACTTGAGGTTCTTAAGGATCTCGGAGCCCAAGCGCGTCTGACGCTGCTTGTTCAAGTCTTTCAGGACGTCCTCGTTCAAGACAGAGGATGAGTTCCGCTCCTCCCGAGTGGTCTCAGGTCTTATGAGCACCATCTCGGCAATCGTTTTAGCCTTGAGGTTGGCCAGAAAAGACTCGACCGTCATTTCCTCGAGGTTCAGTATCTCTGCAACCTCTGGCAACGGTTCCAAGTGGACACCAGATGCCTTCACGGGTAAACCGGTCTCACCATCGAAGATCTGATAACACTCTTCCACAGGCCTTGTCGGATGAGCCCGGCCCCTGAACACCGAGTCGCTTGAAGCGACGTCGATCTGAACGAAGTTCAGATCCGACTTTCGGCGGTGGCGGCGTCGTCGTTGACGGCGACCGTAACGTGTAACTTTTTTACTCATGTCAGGGAATGTCGGAGCGCCGACATCCGAGGCACTCGTGGCCTCGTGTGGTACTGTGTTACTCACACCGAAAGCGTGTCCGACGCCTTCCTCTTCAGTTAAGGTCTGGGCGACCGCGTGTGGAGCTATGTTACCCACCTTGAACACGCTATTGCCAGCGTTCGTGACAGCTGCAGCTGTCTGCGGAACTATGTTACCCGCTTGTGAACCTAAGTTACCCACTTGGCCAGCGCCGCCACCATCGAAGCGTCCTCGGAGCCGTCATATACGTCGACGACTCCCAAGCATCTGCTGGATGCTTCGGTACCATGGCAACCCTAGCGGGTGCACCAGGTCCTGACAGAGGTGGGAACATGACTCACCAATGCTCTGTCGGACTTCGCAAGGCGGCTGGCACCGATTGCCTTGCCTCGCCAGTCGATTCAGGGCTCGTGCTTCTCAAGCCAGGGCATGCCCAGGATCATATCTTAGGGATCCATGTCGAGAACAGTGAACTGTTCGAGGCTGTCAAAGTCTTTAAAATTTGACGGCCAGATCCACTTGGACGTTGGGGACAGTGACGACCTTCCCGTCGGCCAGTCACACTGACACCGCCCCGTTGCCCTTGCTTTCTCTCAAAGCATCGGACAACTTGTTGCTATTACAAGCAACCGTCTGGCAGCGTGCGAAATTCTTTGACGCGTAAAATCGATTTAGATTCTAAAGGGGCGCTCGTATCCCCGTACACATCCGTGTACTACGAGCAACCCGCCGCTGCTCTTCGCCGATTCGAGAGTGCGAAGACTCTCAGGGCTAAGTCCCCGTGGCACGCGCCACCCGCGCACCCTTCACAAAGACTTAGTTCTTCCCAGTAGCGCGCCCCGCCCCTACTGGTTTTCGGTGTTCCCCTGTCCTCGGGATCCTAGCTTCTGCCAGCGGCCCTTGAGGACGGGCTTGGGGAAAGTCCGTCTGCGAGTCTTTCCGCGGGGCAGTCGCGCTTGAAGTGGCCCATCGTCCTGCAGCCGAAGCAGCGGGTGTCGCGCTGCTCGGCGGACCCCAAATCCATGGGAACTGGTCCGTTGGGGCTCGCTCGACCGGAATTCGACAAAGAACTCCCAGGCCATGCTGAGGTCAGTGTACGCGCCTGGCGATGGCTGTATTCTTCCTGAAGAGCCATTTGAATCGCTGCTTCAAGGGTGCTTGGCTGCACCCGGAACAGCTGAGTGCGCGCTGGGCCCGCTCGAAGGCCATCCATGAACACAGTCATCTTGATGTGTTCGTTGAGTGGGTTTCCCACTAGGGACGCCGTGAGCTCCCGTATCTCTTGGACGTACTCGTGCAGCTCACGCCTAGATTTTTTGCACGAGAGGAAGCGCGAGCGCTGGCGGTACTCGTAGTTCGCCGGGAGGAACGCGACTTGGAGCTGCTCGCACAGCTGAGCCCAGGATGTGAAATATCCAGGGGATGTTGTCTCTCACTACGTGTACACCCAGCTCTTAGCACGACCGCTAAGGTTGGAGAGTGCAAAAGCAACACGAAGTTGCTCGGTCGAGATCAGAGCCGTGTCCATCGCAAGCTCTACCCCTCGGACCCAGAAGTGAAGGCTCTCACCTTCCTTCCCTTCGCACGGCTTAACCTTCAGCCGTATTGGCTTTATGTGTGGCGGATTAGCTTCCGCCGCCGGAGCCTGCAGGTTCTCCCGCACATGCGCGATGAGCCCCTGCTCGTAAGCGTCAACGCGCTCGAGCTGCTCGGCCGGTGTTGACACCACCAGGCTCTGCAGGGCCTCCATTCCGGAGATGCCTGCCAATCTTCCGAACTGACTCGAACTGTGAGTCGTTCAGATGGGAGAAGTCGTTCCTACCCATGGCAACGAACTTCAGAGAGGCTCAGGTAGTCTACCCGCGGTGGCGTGGATTGACTACAAGTGCTATTAAGTGTGACGGAGTCACACAGCACCTTGCGCTAGAGGAAGTTGGCTTCCAAGAGCTTACAAACTCTCAGTGAACGGCAGCTCACAGGTCCCCTTTTGCCGAAAGGGAGCGAAGTGACCAATTCTAAGGTAGATTGTATACTGAGTATATTTATAGGTAGGTTAAGCTTGAGCTAATACAAACTATAAGTCACCTTTAGATGGTTGGCTTGGACGACCTTGGTACCTTGTACCAAATATCCCGAAGTATGACGTGTCACACTTCATGTAACTAGATGTACAGTCGTGCACCTCGTATTCGGCGGGGTGGACCATATAGAGTATACGAGCTGCGAATATTTATAGAGGAGCAGATGGAATCCAAATGTACTACTTTGTATTACCTTAATTAAGTACAAATCATAAATCCATCTTCGACACAATACCAGTGTGATTCCAACAGTTTCGTATGGTCATTGTCGATACGTCTTGCCAACCTTCTGAGCACCACTTCATCGCTGTATAAATATTGACGGGGGTATACGTCTCGCCTTTGTAAACAGAGACAGTGTCCATGATGGCTCTGTGGCTGCCTTCCTGCACAATGTTTGCTTATTGGCGAGATTCAACGTAGAATAGGCGGACGGGCGACGTGCCATGGCCTTTTGCGACAAAATTTATAATGAGCTGTTGTATGGTGAAGTGATTGAGCTGATACATGGTGGCGGAAGTGCGGCGTTTCATCCCTCCTTGAGGTTATTTGGTCCAAAGGAGATGGGCAACTCATTTGCGCAATGCATGTGGCCCAATCATTAGATTGTGCAGGTTATTAAGCCATACCGGGGCCGAAAACGAGGTGCACGACTGTACACTTAGGGCTGGCTGGTGCTGGTTCTCGCTAGAGGTAGGTATCAGAACAAGACGCTGTCTTGTTTTCAGTGGTTGTCGTCGCTTGTAGAACCGCTGGCAGTGTTCACTTTAGACTTCGCGCGCTCAAGTACACCATGCCCTCTACGCGTCCGGTGAGCGGGTCCGCAGGGATCCATGACATCGTCAGCTACCCCGCGCCATTAGCGGCCAGCGCCACGCTACCCCCTCAAGCGGATGCCAACCTCTCGGGCTCTTTGGGTGGCACCGCGGGGTCGAGTCCTTCTGCGGTCGACCGCGGAGGACCCATCCCCAAGCGTAGGAAGGGGAATAAATCCAAGAAGCTGCCAGCTTCAAGTGGCAAGAAGCCTTCGGCTATACTTGACTGGACCGATAGCATGGTGCGGGATCTGATGACGCTGCGTTTTGACACCTACGCGGACCGCTTTAGCAGCGCAAAAAACAATGCAGCACACTCAAACGTAAATACGTTCACAGGGGCATCCCTGTGGAACATCAAGCCACACACGAGAGCGGCACTAGCAGCTACGGTATGAGCAGCAAGAGCAAAAACTTGGGGCTGGCTTGGCATCGTCAAAAGCACGGTGTCTGCAAAATGCAAAATGCTGCCAGCCATCCTCTGCCCAACTAGAACCCGGATACTCAGCTCTTTTGCAAGTTCTCAAGTTGTCCCGAAGTAGTAACATTAACCTACCCCTGAGCTGGCGACAGCTAATCACAGCGCTCTTTACACCTAAACCTAACTTAAGCACCCAGCCCTTAGGGCTACGTACCCCGTTACAGTGGGAACCCAAAACAAGAATAATACTCGGAGTACATGGTCTAAACAGTACTACTATTTTGGTTAGCTGGCTCACCTTCACTAACCAGGATTGGAGGCTCACTGTTTAACCGAGAATGTTACCAGCCATGCCCCAGTTGGTAGCGTCCAGGTCGTCCAGGTTGAGGAAGACTCGGTCCGAAGGGAGTTTGAGCGCTTTAGCCGCCGTGGCGGTCAGAGATGCAGCTGTCTTGGGGTTGAGGTCGGGTCCGATACGGCCAATACTGCGAATGTGAATGAAGGCGCACGGCTACACAAACGTGAGGGGGAAACCATTAGTAACATACGAGGGGACATTTAAAGAGAAACGTACAGCGTCGGAAGCCTGGAAGATCATAGGCATATCCAGGTCCAGCTGCACCATCACGTAGGCCTCAGGCTTCCCCAGAGCGTCCGACAAGGCGTTAGAAAGCGCACGCAGCGCCTTGGGGACATCTACATCGGTCTTGGGTACATTGCTTGTCACGTGGACGAACGGCATGATGTCTTTCGCTACGCTTCGTTGAAAAGATACGTTTAATATACTGGTATACCGGGACGGATGACGTATTCACCACAAAGGAAGTCTGAACCGAGCAATCCATGAGTCCAAGTTGGACCATGGGACTCATGATACTATTATAGTAGGGGTAGATACAACTGAATTGATCAGCGCCATGCTAAATACATGTATTACGTAGTACTAAGACATGCAGATTGCGTTGATGCAAGAAATGCTGACCTTCCTAGAGGTCTCGCAAATACTTGCCAGTATCTGGATAGTATATTACAGCTTACTGCTTGGGCTCAGGAATGAGCACACCACCCTTAGCCCAGTTCGAGCGCAACACGTCGTCAATGTTCATGAAGATGCGGTCCTTGGGGATATTCAGCTCCTGGCTTACAGTCTCCGTCAGCATGGACGCTGTCTGCAACAGCAATAAAGCGCCAGCAGCCAAGTTCAATCAGTCCAAGTCTCTCAAAAGACAGTACAATACTCTGTGCAGCTGCATACCGTGGAATTATGCTGAGCGTCCACCTTGCCGATGCTTCTTAGGTGGATCATGGCACACGGCTGTAGCAACAACGATGAAAACATCAATAAGTCCATACGGCTAGCTCCAAACAGTGCAAGGGAGACTCACATCGTCCGAGGCCTGGAACAACATAGGTGTGTCCAGGTTCAGATGCACCATCACGACTTGTTCTGACTTGTCCATAGCAGTCGCCAGTGATTTAGAGATCGCTACCATGACTTTAACCTTGTCCACACCGACGGAAGATACGTTGCTCGTCACCTGGATGTTCGGCATTGCTCTCCCCACGGTCAATCGACGAATGACTATCCAAACCCAATCTTTAGCATACCGTCTTATAACCTGTCAAGTATCGGTGTACAACCGGTTTTAGTCTGAGGATTACTGTGGCCACCCAAATACTAGTCGCATCATTTGATCTCAGTAAGCTTAACACCTTCGCTAAAATCAAAACGTTTGGCTGAAGCTGGAGCCGACGAGACCTTCACTCTTGCCCGCATTCCGCATTCTTGCTAGCCATGGCGGAGGAGGTTGCTCGTTCGAGGCAGTATGCGTACCAGCAGAACTCCAACCTGGTGCTCCAGGCGGACAGTGAGTCGCGTAGACGGCCCGATGAGCCCACGGGCGAGGTGGAGTCGCTGGCTGGCAAGATCACCTACCGAATGGGCGACCGGGCGCAGAAGGCCACGCCTCAGAGCAGCCGCAAGCGCCATGGGGGAGACAAGGACGCAGAATCCAAGCACAAGAAGAAGAAGCGGCGCGGAGACGCGGACGACGGAGGAGGCGGCGTGCTCTTCACGGCGACAGGCGGCCTGGCCACCGCCAAGAGTAATATTCTAAAAGAAAGTTCAGCCTTCGAGTCGGCCGCTTACAGACCTAAGAATCCCGCGAGCCAGGAGGCCTACGAGCAGATCTTGGGCGTCGTAGCCCAGCAACTTGGAGCCCAGCCTGGCGAGATCTTGGCTGGCGCAGCGGAAGAAGTGCTGGCCATCTTGAAGAATGACAACTACAGGGACGATGAGAAGCTCAAAGAAGTACAGAAGCTGCTGAAGACCATCCCGACACACACTTTCAGTCAGTTGGTGGCTGCCGGAAAGAGAATCACGGACTTTTTCCTAGAGAACGGCGAGAAGAAGGCTGGAGAAGAAGAAGGAGAACACGCTACAGCCGCGGAGAGTGATGAAGAAGTGGATAAGGAGATGGGCGTCGCTGTAGTCTTTGACGAAGAAGATGAAGAGGAGGAGTCTGATCTGGATGAGGTGAGAGACGACGAAGACGACGACGAGGAGGAGGAGATCACTGCTGCTGGACGCGAAGCCATGAAGATGAAGGACGGATACGACGACGAAGACGGCGGAGATGCAAAGTACAGACTAGATGTGCATGCTATCGATGCTTTCTGGCTTCAGCGTGAGTTGTCAAAGTTTTACAAGGACGCTGAGGTTAGTGCCAAGCTGGCGGAAGACGTGCTGAGTATCCTCAAGGAAGCGGGCAGTGATCTCAGTGCTTGTGAAAACAGACTGGTGTTGCTCCTAGACTACGACAAGTTTGATTTCATTAAGCTACTGCTGGAGAACAAAGCCAAGGTGCTTTATTGCACGAGATTAAAGCAAGCCCAGAACGACGAAGAGCGACGCAACATCGAGGAGGAGATGGTTGCTGACGAGACGCTGAATGACGGTGAAGGAAAGACGATCTTGGAGCAGCTGCGCACGACAGCGTCGGCTGACTCGTGGATGCAGGATCGTATCGGCGCTATGGAGACGACGTCTCGTGCCGAAGCGAACAAGTTGCGCAAATTGCAGCAAAAATCTGGTGGACAGCGCACCCAGACTCGTGGTGATGACTCGGACGATGATGTTGACATGGAAGACGTTAGCCGTGATGCCATGAAGAAAGAGGCAGAAGCTGCGCCAAAGAAGAAACCGCAGCACTACGTGGATGTGGAGTCACTCGCCTTCCAGGAGGGTGGACACCTAATGAGCAACCGTGAATGTCGCCTCCCGGAAGGTACGTGGCGTGCACAGAAGAAGGGATACGAAGAAGTCCACGTTCCTGCTGTTCGTACGAAGATAGCTGCGGCTGAAGAGAAGGCGCGAATCAAGATCTCGACGCTCCCAAAGTGGGCTCAGGGCGCATTCAAGGGCATGGAGTCGCTAAACCGCGTGCAGTCTAAGATGTTCCCCGCAGCCTTTAAAACGAGCGAGAACTTACTTCTCTGCGCTCCTACAGGTGCTGGTAAGACAAATGTTGCTATGCTGACGATTCTGCATGAAGTCATGAAGGCTCGTGATCCAGAGACTGGCGAAATTGATCTTAACTCGTTCAAGATTGTGTATGTGGCTCCGATGAAAGCTCTGGTGCAAGAAGTGGTGCTAAATCTTTCCGCCAGACTCTCCAGCGCCTATGGTATCCAAGTGAGAGAGCTTTCAGGTGATCAGAATCTCTCACGAGAGCAATTGTTCAACACCCAGATCATCGTCACGACGCCCGAGAAGTGGGATATCATCACGCGAAAGTCTGGGGACGATCGTACGTACACCCAGCTCGTGCGTCTGGTGATTATTGATGAAATTCACTTGCTTCACGACACTAGAGGACCGGTACTGGAGGCGCTGGTTGCTCGAACGATCCGGAATGTGGAAGCCACGCAACAGATGGTACGTCTCGTGGGTCTTTCGGCTACGCTGCCAAACTACGAGGATGTTGCTGCCTTCCTTCGCGTAGACCCTGCTCAGGGATTGTTCTACTTCGATTCCAGTTATCGCCCTGTGCCTTTGCAACAGCAGTACATTGGCATTATGGAGAAGAAGGCAGTCAAGCGCTTCGCGTTGATGAACGAAATTTGCTACGAAAAGGTGATGGAGCAGGCAGAGCTGGACAATCAAGTACTAATTTTCGTGCATTCTCGAAAGGAGACTGCGTCCACAGCTCAAGCGTTACGGGACTTGTTCGTGGAGAACGACACACTTGCTCGTCTAATCAAGCCGAACTCAGCTTCTAGCGAGGTCCTCTTGCAAGAAGCTGAGAAGATTGAACGCAATGATGATTTGAAGGACCTCCTTCCGTACGGTTTCGGTATCCATCATGCTGGTATGAAGCGACAGGACCGTACACTAGTGGAAAACGCGTTCGCTGACGGTCATTTGAAGGTGTTAGTCAGTACCTCGACGCTGGCGTGGGGTGTTAATCTGCCCGCACACACGGTGATTATCAAGGGCACGCAAATCTACAACGCTGAGAAGGGAGACTGGTGTGAACTAAGTCCGTTGGATATCTTGCAGATGCTGGGTCGTGCCGGTCGTGTGCAGTTCGACACGCAGGGTGAGGGCATCATTATCACGCAGCACTCGCAGTTGACCTATTACTTGTCGTTGATGAACCAGCAGCTGCCTGTTGAATCGCAAATGATGAGTAGACTGGCGGACAACTTGAACGCTGAAATTGTGGTGGGTAGCGTGCAGAATGTGGCACAAGCAGCGACGTGGCTAGGCTATACGTATTTATTCATCCGCATGCTGCGTAATCCGACGCTTTACGGTATCTCAATCGCTGACCGCAAGGCAGATCCCACACTGCTCCAGTATCGCACAGACTTGGTGCACTCAGCTGCTACATTGCTCGCGAAACACAACCTGATCAAGTATGAAAGACGTTCGGGATTGTTCCAAGTGACTGCTCTTGGTCGTGTGGCCAGTCATTACTACATTGCGCACGACTCCATCAGTACGTACAACGAGTATCTGAAGCCTCACATGTCCGATATCGAGATTTTGCGGCTCTTCTCACTTTCGAATGAGTTCAAGTATGTCATTATTCGGTCAGAGGAGAAACTGGAACTTGTCAAGCTATTGGAGCGTGTCCCTGTGCCCGTGAAGGAGTCGCTGGTGTCCACAGCTCCTGGTAGTGTAGCTGCCGGAAGCGGCTCGGCTAAGGTGAACGTTTTGCTACAAGCTTACATCTCGCGACTGAAGCTGGATGGCTTTGCGCTCTTGGCAGATATGGCGCACATTCATCAGTCAGCGGCTCGTATTTTCCGAGCATTGTTCGAGATTTGCTTGACCAGAGGCTGGGCTTCACTTGCTGAGCGAATGCTTAGCTTCTGCAAGATGGTGGACAAACGCATGTGGCTCTCTCACTCTCCTCTTCGTCAGTTTGCACCGGGCATTTCTGAGACAATCCTGAAGCGCATTGAGAAGAAGGATATTTCGTGGGAAAAGTACAATGATCTGGAACCTGCTGACCTGGGCCAACTCATTAACAATCCGCAGTATGGAAAGCAGCTCTACAAGATGATTCATCAGTTCCCAAAGCTTGAACTCTCAGCTCATGTCCAGCCGATTACTCGCTCGATGCTGAAGGTGGATCTGGTTGTGACGCCTGATTTCGAGTTCACGCGCGATGTTCACGGTAACTCTGAGGGCTTCTGGGTGTTTGTGGAAGATGTGGACGGCGAGACGATTCTTCACCACGAATGGCTGCTGATCAAGCGCCGCTTCGCCTCGCAAGAAACGTATCTGAGCTTTACGATGCCGTTGTTTGAACCTTTGGCGCCGCTGTATTACATCAAGGTCATCTCGGATAAGTGGATTCATTGCGAGAGCTCGCTGCCTGTGTCGTTCCACAAGCTCATCTTGCCGCAGAAGAACGCGCCTCCCACTGAACTGCTGGATCTCCAGCCGCTTTTCGGTAACAATATTCTATTGAAACTTGTTGGTGGCAAGAAGAAGATTGCTGAGTCCTTACTTAAGTCTGTAACGAACGCACGCAAAGTACCGAACCCGTGGCGGTTCAAACGCTTCAACCCCATTCAAACTCAAGTGTTGCCACGCCTGCTGGAGTCGGAGAGCAATCTCTTCATCGGATCTCCACCTGGAAGTGGCAAGGGCGTGCTAGCAGAGCTCGCTGTCATGAAGACGTTGCTTTCTCTGGGCCAGCCTGACCCTAAGAGCGACGAGTTCGGTGAGCACCTGGTCGTGTATTTGATTCCCAAGGAGTCAAATTGCCATCAGAAGTATGAAGATTGGAAGGCCAAGTTTGGTGAGGAAAGCTTCTGGCGGCAAAACGTTGTGGAGCTCACTGGCGATTCTACCGCAGATTTGCGATTGCTGGCAAGTGCAAACATCCTTGTTGCGACTCCCACCCAATGGGACGTGCTCTCTCGCCGTTGGAAGCAGCGGAAGCGCATCCAGAACATCAGTCTGCTGCTTTTGGATGAGACACACTTCTTGGGAGGTGGCGAGTATGGCCCCACGATCGAGGTCGTGATGTCCCGGATGCGATTCATCGCTGCTGACATGGACAAGAAGAAGAAAGCAGCTGGTGAACGTGGTGGACGTATGCGCATCTTGGCCTTGAGCAACTCCATCGCAAACGCTCGTGATGTCGGCGAGTGGCTCGGCGCCAGTGCGTCCGAGGGGATTTATAACTTTCACCCGAATGTTCGTCCTCAACCGCTGGAGATTCGTGTGCAGGGATTTGAGATTAATGACTTCTCGTCTCGTATGTTGGCGATGGCCAAACCTTTGTACAATACGATCGCGAACCAAGCAGAGAAGAAACCGGCGATGGTGTTTGTTCCTTCAGCTAAACAGGCGCAACTTAGCGCGATTGACTTGATTACCTTTGCGCTGGCTGAGAATGATCCGCAGAAGTTCGTGTCTCACGCTGCCAAGGATAAGGTCGAGCTGCCGCTGGAAGATGCGGCTTTGCTGCACACGTTGGAGAATGGCGTAGGATATTGCACTGATACGATGTCTTCGCGGAATCGTGAGTATGTGCTGGACCGGTTTGCTGCAGGCAAGATACAGGTACTGATCGTCCCTCAGTCGATGGCGTGGGAGCTGCAAAGTGCTCAGTGCAGTGCGTTCATGGTGGTGATTATGGGCACGCAGTTCTACGACGGGCGAGAGCACCGCTATGTGGACTACCAGCTCGCTGACGTGTTCCAGATGACTAAGTTCGCCAACCACGTGGCGTCTCCTGCCGTCAAGTGCGTGTTGTTCTGTCACGCTTCAAAGAAGAAATTCTACGCCAAGTTTCTGTACGATCCGTTGCCTGTCGAATCACAGCTTGAACACTTTTTGAGTGATCATATCAATGCTGAGATCGTGACGAAGACCATCGAGAGTAAGCAAGACGCGGTGGATTATCTCACGTGGACGTTCATGTACCGCCGCTTTATGAAGAACCCGAATTACTACAACTTGCAGGGCGCGACGAATGTGCATTTGTCCGATCACTTGTCCGAGTTGGTGGAGACTACTGTCAATGCACTAGAAGAGTCACGCTGTATCCAGGTTGTCGAGGAGGAGGACGACGATGAAGGCGAGGAGCGTTTAGCGCCGCTGAATCTGGGCATGATCGCTGCCTACTACTACATCAAGTACACGACGATCGAGCTGTTCGCGTGCAGTCTGAAGGCGGACTCGAAAGTGCGTGCGCTCCTGACGATTTTGTCGTCTGCTACCGAGTTCAGCGACCTGCCGAGTCGATATGGAGAAGACAAGAAGCTGGAGGGCCTAGCGAAGCATCTGAAGTTCCCGGTGGCTGCTGGAGGAGACTACGGGCAACCGCACGTGAAGACGAATGTGCTGCTGCAAGCTCATTTCAGCAAGCAGCATGACCGTCTGAGCCCAGCGCTACGTCAAGATCTCGACTTTGTTTTGCGTCACGCTGTGCGTCTTCTACACGCAATGGTGGATGTGATCAGCTCCAATGGGTGGCTGAAGCCTGCGCTGGCTGCGATGGACCTAGCGCAGATGGTTGTCCAGGCCCAATGGAGCAGTGAATCGCCCCTGTTGCAGATCCCGTTCTTCACAAAGGATACGCTTAAGAAATTGGGTGAGATGGATCTGGAAGAGGAGGTGGAGACTCCTGTGGACATTCTGAGTATGGAGGACGATGCACGCAGCAAGTTGTTGCCTTTGGACACGCAGAAAATGTCGGCCGTGGCCAAGTTCTGTAACGCTTTCCCGGATGTGACAGTGCAGACGAAGGTGCAGCAGGACGGTAAGAATTTGCCCCAGGGCTCGGCTGTCAGTGTCAAGGTGCAGCTGGAGCGTGAAGGTGCTGATGAAGAAGACGAAGAAGAGGACGAGGACAAGGAATTGGGATTGGTGAACGCATGCCACTATCCTGTCAAGAAGGCCGAGAACTGGTGGGTCGTACTGGGTGACGCCAAGAAGAACACGCTACTGAGTATCAAGCGCGTGCCGTTTGCCAGCGCTCGGGCCAATGTGGCACTGCAATTCGCCGCTCCGGACGAGCTGGGCGCCCATACTTTCCAGCTTTATGTGATTTGCGATGGTTACGCTGGTTGCGACCTGGAGAACGAGGTCAAGATTACTGTTGTTCAGGGTGAAGATACAGACGAAGAAATCGAAGACGAAGAGGACTAAGCAGCTCACGAGAAGTCTAAGCGGACATAAAACATCGACGTATGATTCACTTTATATCTTTGTCTTTGCGTGAACAGGAACAGGAGAAGCACCAGGATACGACGTGGACAATTCAGAATCCTCTTCTTCTGTCTCGCTAGCGGCCTTTTGTCTTGTTAAATGTGGTGCACGGAAGCCACGTGACTTGAGTTTACGAGCCGCCTCAGTCGACGCAGCATTGAAGAGCCCAGCAGCCTTGAAGACCCCAGCACGCAATTGTTGCTGACGTGTAGGATGCTGTTTATTCGTGTCAGCCTCGACGCTGTATGCGCTAGCATCGCTAATGAGACTTGTGGATGTTGCAGCGTCGGAGAAGATACTGGGTTCGCGATAGATTCCAGCCGGAGCGCTCTTGATCTCTTCACAGGCAGGGCTTTCCAGATAGCTCTCCTCACTCGTTGCAGTAGACGCAGTCGAACCTGATCGCAGCAGGTGCAGTCCGCTGTTCAACTTGCTCTTGGCCTCCTGCAACCGTTTGGTCATCATCGCCGGGCGCATACTCATACTCATGCTTAGCCGATGATTCGTAAAGTTCATGCTCGAGTGTCTTGCTCGTCGCCATTGACTAGCACCAACAGGTTCAGTTTCGGACGCACGACGACGATGCAGCTCTGGTGTGTAGCCCTCGTCATCACTGGAGAAGTCTCCAGCGTCTTCATCGTCAACCTTCTGATTCCGGGATTGGGATAATGAGCGCGTACGGGATTTGAATGTAGCAAGTGACAGCGCAGTCGGCATCCCGGCTGACCCTGCACCTGAACATGTCCGGGCTTTCTGTCGCCTCCACTGCGAGATTGACGGTACTCTTGGAAGCAAACTCGGTCGAAGCGAGGCAGTTGTTCTCTGTCGATCTTCCTCCTCGTCACTGTCGCTGATGACGTCGTCAGCTGCCGTCCTTGTAACAGGCTCAGTTGGATGGTACGTCGGGAACGGATTTTCTGATACTTTAGCTACGGGAGATGACAATACACTGTCGGCGTCGGCGGTCCAGCAAGTGTCGGGGTCGAAGGGGGCCACCTCTTCTTCTTCCTCGTCCTCTTCCTCGATCGCTCCATTAATCTGTTCGTCTGTAGGCTCGTGTTCGGGCTCAAAGAACCTCAACTGACGCACCGGAGACGAGATCGACACTCGTGTCAATGGAGACAATGTCGCAGTCATTGAAGGACGTGGCGACGCGGTCTCAGAACACGGCGAGATGAGATTCCACTGCGCTTCTTCTGTAGGTGTCGTGCTAGTCTGGATGGGGAGCTGTGTGGGCCGCATGAGCTGCGACGTCTCCTCTTCCTCGTCGCTGGAGGCTTCGCTTGTAGCGTCCCACGAGAGCCGCTCCACCAAATCTAACTCTACCGTATCGCGCTCCATCGAGAACGAAGTGGTAATTAGCTCGTCCGGACCCGCTGTTTCTAGTTCGTCTTCGTCTAGACTTCCGAAAAGTGCGTCCTCCTGCTCGATCGGGTCAACTTCAGTCTCCCAGCCGTCGCGCTGCCAGCCCCTCGCCTCCCTCCCAGCACAGAACGCCATGATCTGCTCTCTGCCTGGACTGGACCTGATCGATCGTCTTTGAGGGAACTCAGTTCCGAACTGGGAACGGCTTCTCAAAGACCAATGGCCAGACGGACAAACCGTCTCGTCGCTGTCGCACTCCTGACTGCTTGGCTTTTCCGTGCCTAGGTGACCACCTGCCACCTGTTCCCTGCAGGATCAATTTCGATCCAGGCAAGACCAAGCCATGTGTGTGTTCCATTTCTCGATTCGGATTAAGTTTTCTCAGCACCAACAGTTTATGATACCGTTGTAGCCACACGAAGGGGACGATGGCATGTAGCAGCGTAACCAATAATCAACGCGCTATTAAAGCGTTGGGTCCTTCCGACTTGAGGATCTGCAACTCATTGACGAGACCGTCACGAGCTCTACAAGTTTAAATGCGCGGCGACGGTCGGCACTTGACTCTGCCGACGCGCGGACTCTAAATCAGAGTTCGCTCGGTCGTCGGCTTGACACGACCGAGATTTGCTATCGCGCCGTCGCAAGTTTCGATCACGCGACCCAAGCAGTGCGACCAACGAAGACTGCACCGAAAGAGGCGCTCTGTCTCCCGTAACTGTACCCGGATAGCAGACAAGTCCCTCGATCTCGTGGTGAGGGCCACACTGAGGACTCCTCAGTGAGGAGTGCTTAACGATCGTTGAGCATAATTCTTGGCATCCGCTGACTGACCAACTGGTAGGTTGACCGTCAACCTCACGAGGCTATCCGGACCGACCAGCACCTGACTCGCGGAGAGCCGCTCTAATAGAGCCTCTATGGTAGAGTCTACAGTATCGCATCGAGTTCTTCAAAGTACAGGTATCACTTTGTAGCTGTATCTAGTAGATACTATTTACTGTACGAACTGCCAAGCAATTGTTCTCTCAAAATGATCACTTCTTCGTGGGGACTTTAATCCCGATCTTCTTAAGCAGAGCTGCTGTGCCTGGTGTGGCTGCATGATGAACACACAAAAGAGGTCACTGCAACTGCAAAAGCACTAGCATCATGAAAATGATCACGTACCAGAGACTGGCATGTCAATGGGTGAGTCCAAGTCGAACCTCTTTGATCGACGTTGTCGCTTAGGTGTTAAGCAACTAGTAGAAGAAGAAGACAGCATGGCATCATCGGGTGTAAAGAACATTTCATCACGTTTACCGATCTGCGAAAAAGAGCGTTTGAGTCAGATATTTGACCTAGGTCTTCACGGTACCGTAGAGTCTACGTTCATTTAGTTGCTGCTCACCTCAAACTCCAAGCGGTCTTTGTCAAGTTTGACAGCCTGCTCTTGCAAGAGTCTGCGTTCCTTCTCCAGATTCTGGCGAAGCACAGCCAGCTCGCTTTTCTCCTGCGCCATCTCTTCCTCGAAAGCCACGTTAGGCGAGCTTCTGGCACCAACTTTATCGACAACAAGCTTTGTCAATCCATCCCGTTTCTTCTTGACTCGGACGTCAACTGCAGGGGACGATAACGACGCTTGAAGCAGCTGGTCTTGCTCCTTGATAATGGCGTGTGCGTCGTCCAGCTTCCGTCGCAATCGCTTGATCACCTCTCGATCACTACGAGCTTCTGCGGATGGTAGTTCATTGCGAATGACGTGCTCGAGCTGCTTCAACTTTCCGTCCAAAGCCTCCATTGATGCAGAAATGTACTGCGGAATGCTTTCTTTTGTAGCCATGTTGAACGGTGTTGGAGTAAAGTCGTCAATAGGAGCTCTCGCCAGTTTCTCCAATTCTTCAGCATCACCCTCCAAGTTTTTCCTTCACAGTAAAACAAACAGCGTTAAAGTTAGAAAGCTTAATAACAATAGCAGGACTCGCAGCGTACTGGGCAAGGAAGAGTTGAACAGCCTTCTTGTACTGCGACGTGAGCGATTCCAAGTGGTGTTGCAACGCATCGTAGCTCTTTGCCAGCGCTTCGTTGTCTAACAGTAGCTCGGCTTTCTTACGCTCCAAATTATCCATAATCTGCTTCGTAAGCTTGCTCTCCTTGGACTGCTTCGTCGTCGAAGCCTGTTTTCGCTCTCGAAGTCCATTCAAAGTCTTTGCTATCGCCATGCCCTGACCACATCCGACACCTTTAGTTACGAGCCCAACAACAGTGACAAGCTAGACATACTCGCTTCTCCTTAGCAGCTCGTGCAACTGCATCCTGTAAACTTTTTTTGAGCCGTGCATAGTCGACGTCTTTTCTCCTCAGTTGCGCTTTATACGCCGTCTCCACACCTTGTAACCTATACGTATGAGCAGAAAACGTAAGCTCCACTAGCACAAATTAGATACTCGTAGCCTTACATACCTGGCGCAGTTGACTTCCAGCGCTTTCTTCTCCACCTGCAGCGTCTTTCTTTCAGCCAATAAACTCTTCTCCTTAGCCTTGAATGCATTTTCTTTCTGAGCAAAGTTCTGCTTCAACATCTCAAGATCCGTCGTCAGAGTCTGCACGATGTGATTTTTCCTCTCCAATTGCTTTTCCACTCTGCCTAAATTCTCGCTTAGTCGATTCTGACGATCCAGCTCGCGGTCCCTTACGTAGAGCAGATAACTCACGAGGTCCATGACCTCTCTCACTCCACTCTCAGCCCTCATTTGCTCCTCTGTCTGTTGCGTCATTCCTACACTTAGCAGTCTCCAGACTTTGGCTAGATCCAGAGTACAGACTTTGTCTACGTCGTCTTCTGCTGCCTTCTCCTTGGCTAAAAATCTCCTAGTACCGTTCTCCAGACCGGAAGAGCGAGCCCCCAACATCGATGACAGCGCCACGACGTGTTGCAGCTGCTCGTTCAGGTACTTTTGATTGTCCACAAGCGTCTGATTGGCTGGTAGTCGCCATGGACTCGTAGTGCTCGACGCTGACGTCAAGGAAATGTCCATGCTGGAGCCCGCACTGGGTTTAAAGACGCTGCTCTCTTTCTCCTCTTCACTGGGAGGATCTTCGGAGCGCGGACGCTTGGACCGGTGGAAGGAGGACGTAAAGTCCATCGTGTATCCCCCACTACTGTTCTTCTCGCGTGCTCGACTGTGTCGCCCGCTGTCCATGAGCTAGCGGGTGCCGAATTGCAGCGCTCAAAATGCGATATGACCATCACTCTGACTGCTAAGTTCGATGTCACTAAACAGAAATTGTCTAAGTACGCCTCTAGCACAATGTAGCCATTCCACGAAAAACTGCAGCATTCGCAACGATGGAGCAAGAGATGGAAGCATTCCTACAGCAGCACCAGGCGCAACTGGTGGCGGCGCAAGTACCCGAGTACCTGTGGCCTGTAGCGTACTACAAACTCAAGTAGGGACTTTTAATGCTATTATTTGTAATGTAGTAGCAAGTGAGTGTCATAGAATTCAAGTGCTGACTGGTGACGTCGACTCGACGACTCGCAGGAATGAGGTGTTTGATGCCGGCAACTATTTTTTCCTTGCTCGCGATGAAGATGGAGACTTGCACGCCGTTGTGCGCGATGACGTGGACTTGGCACCCGTGCAACCTGACGCGGACGAGGCTCTTTTCTTGGTAGACCACGCTTGGACATTTACTGTTGACAAGGTGCGCGAGCAGCTGGAGGCTGTGCCACCGCTTCTCGAACGCATGGTGAACCTTATGCAATTGGATGGAACCGCTGGTCTCTCCAAGGAGGAACGCGTGGCTGCTGTCACTGACCGTGTGTGGCGCTACGCCAACACATATCGTCTTGGCAGCGCGAAACCTGAGGACTCCTCCACGATCTGGTATGTGATGGATGAGGTTGGATCAGCCATTGAGCACGGAGACGAGCCCAACGTGCGCATGGCACCGTTCTACTTCGGTCCGTCACAGTGCGCGTTCTCCCTAGTTTGGACTGTTCAGTCTATCGAAGGCGGCGACTTCCTGTCGCGTGACTACTTCCCCGAGTATGCAGCAGAAGTAGCCATGCATACAGCACTACTCGCTGCGCTATTCTACCAGCCTGGTAATGCTGACAGTCCGTATGTGGACCAGCTGCTGGAGATTGCTAATGGCCGCAAACAGAACTACACGCTCGCAAGCGCTCGCGGAAAGTTCCACGCCATCGTCAGCCACGACTCGGAGACACTTCCAGATCCAGCGACTACCACGACATCGGTCCCGCTTTCCACTGTCGTGGCAGGGTCAGACCCGCTTCGTGTGTGCTCCGGTAAGGTCACACATTTAAGTATGGACGTCCAACCTAGCTAACGTTTCCACTTAACAGACTTGCAATTGGTGCACGACAACTTGACTCATCCACGCTTTACGCTGGTGGACAATGAGGATGAGGCTCAAGTTGTGTGGTCAACTCGTCATCTCAAAGACTTCCCCAAGTACACGACGAACGGGAACGTACAGATCATCAACCAGTTCCCGAACAAAAAGATCCTCACGTGCAAAGATCTGCTCTACGAAATGTGCAAGCTGTACGCAACTATCAAACTTGCACCTTATCAGCGAGATCCACTTACATTCTTATCGTGTTTTTATAGGCAAAATGAAGTTGTGCAGCCTGACTGGCTCGCGGAGACGTACAACATGACTAGTGAGTTCCCTGAGCTTATCGCACAGTTCCTCCGACGCGACCTGGCTGCTCACGAGAACGGAGACGACGATGACGAGGCGAACCACTGGATCTGCAAGCCGTGGAACATGGCGCGTTCCATTGACACGTGCATCGCGCAGAATGCGGCGCACCTCGCGCGTCTGACCGAAACGGGATCCAAGATCGCATGCAAGTACATCCACCGTCCGTTGTTGATCGACCAACGCAAGTTTGACTTGCGCTTCCTAGTGATGGTCAAGTCCACGAAGCCTTTAGAGCTCTACTTGAGTGGAGTGTACTGGCTTCGTATTTCCAACAAGGAGTTCACGATGGACAATTTCCAGGACTTTGAGACCCACTTTACCAACTCGGACTTCGCTGTTCGTATCATGGACAACGCTGAGTTCGTCGAGCGGTTCGACAATGAGTATCCGAGCGAGGATTGGTCCATGGTGTACGCCGAGATCTGCTCGACTATTAAGAAGCTGTTTGAATGCGCTACCGCTCAATATCCTCCGCTTGGTCTGGGCCGTTGCACGAAGTCGCGTGCGCTGTACGGCGTGGACGTCATGCTGTCGTGGGAAGCTGACGAGGAGACTGGTGACGAGCGTCTGTGTCCGATTATCCTGGACACCAACTCCCAACCGGACTGCACGCGTGCTTGCAAGTACTTCCCGCATTTCTACAACGATCTCATGAACGTTCTGGTACTCGACCGTCCCGACGAGACTGTCCACGGCTGCACGCGTCTTTAAATTTGGAGAGACCTGATCTTCTCTCCTATCGATAACCCCAATAGAATACGGGTTGCAAATCAGCCAAAGCTGGTTAGCTCGGAGTTAAGTCGATTTTACAACAGCATTATGGCGCTTAAGGTTCATTGCAGATTACTGTGGAGTGATCAAAGTATCAGGTGCACGACAGCATGAACGGCGCCACGTACTTGCTGGCTTTTGCTGAATTTCGTCCAATCGTAAGCGTTTCCAACTTCAAGTGCTTTTTCGTCTGATACGTCAAAATCATTTTAAGCCAATCCGATCCTTGTGCGAAACCGCCCTGAAAGCTCCCCTTCATTTCGAGTATTAGCTTAGTCGAGCGACGTCATGGACGCCCACGTGCTGCGGTACGGCCAAAAGGTGCGGCTTGCGACTCGCTCCGCCTACGTAGAGGGCAATGGGTCTGCTGCATCAGAGCTGGGCATTGGATACTACGAGAAGAACGGACGTCACGGGATCTTGAGCTGCGTGCCGCCACTTGGCCCCAAGCTCCAGCAGCTCTTCACAGAGGACGAATTCCAGGTGCTACACCCGACTGATCAACGCTCTCAAGGGGATACTGTGCTCTACGGAGAGCCATTAGTACTCATAAACCAGCGCGGTATGGTCTGGAACAACAAAACTGGCGGTATTACCGGATACGTGGGGCCCAGACCTCGCAATGTGCCTGGAGAGATTTTCGTATGCTTTACGAAAGTCCCAGCGGGTGTCGGAGTGACGAAGAATAAGAAAGACAAAGGAGATAAACTCGACAAACTGGCGTCTTTTGCATCCACGTCAGCGCTGTCAGCGTCGGGAAGCTTATCCATGTCTGAGACGCCCGAAACGGAGAGCGGCCCAGTGTGCTTTGGTGACAGTAATGTGGCCATTACGGTAGTGGAGTCTAACCGCCACTCGCAGATGTTCAACAAAAGACTCAGCAACTTTAAAAAGCCTACGAGTAAAATTGCCGGTGGCTACATTTGCTGCGACGGCAAAGGGACAGAGCTGAGGTTCGCTATCTGGCCGACCAAGCCCAAAATCGACCAGATTTCCATGCTGAACAAGCTTATTGCTCCGTACAATTACGGCCAGAAGATTGCACTGCCTTTGGGACTACTGGAGAGCACGGCCAGGAGGACGAATACCGGTAATATCAATTGTAAGAAGGCGGTAGCGGAGATTACCTTCCACTTGTCAAACGGCGCGGAGGCGGTACTGCCTGGTACGTTGCTGCAGCAGAAAATAGCGACACATGCGAAACCTCTTGGACCTGGTGGAGACGAACACGAGTCCGTTTTTGAGCTGCCATTGAGAAATGGACCTGGCGAGCTATTGGTGCGACTTACCGGCATTGCACCTCGCAAGATAATGCGACAACTTGCCGCCAAGAATGAGAAACCCCCTTCAGCTCCAAAGATCAAGCGCGGCATGGCAGTTTTCTACCGTGTTTCCGACCTACTACGTCGCGTGCCTGTGCCGATCTTCGCACTGTTCTACGCAGTGCTGACTCACCACCTTTATGGCGCTCTCAACACTATGGAAGATGGTCTACGTCGCGAGCTGGTTGTCCTGGTTTTGGTGATGCTTCCTGCATTCTACGTCGCAGTTAAAGTAGATCACCCGTTCTCGTCACTCTTCCAGCCTCCGGTTTTTGAGCCAGAGGTGGACCACACGGAGTATTCAAGTCCTACAGCTAGCGGTACACTGAAGCTCATCGTGACTGAATACCGCTTTGTTCCTGGGGCTCAAACAGCCAGCGCCAATGGAAGCGCTTGTCGTCCAAGTTCTTCCCAAGCTAACGGAGTAGTTACCACTCACTCGGTTACTGCCTTAGAGACCACAGGTTCAGTCCTTAAGAGATTTATTCTCGCTGAAAAAGGAGATGAAGTGAAGGCATTGGAACGCTACAATGAGACTACCGAGTGGCGACGCGAAGAAGGTGTGGATCGGCTTCTTGAAGAACCCAGTCCGCATTTCAAGATTATCAAGGAGAACTACCCTCACTACTACCACAAACGCGGTAAAAATGGGGAGCCAGTGTACTACGAGAAACCGGGAAAGATCAATTTAAAGGCACTGAAGAGTGCGGGTCTCACTCTGGACGATCTGATGCACAACTACCTCATGATCACGGAATTCTTGTGGCAAGTGATTGAACAAGACGATAACCGTAAAGGGATATCGGTATTAGATGTGAATGGTATCGGTATTTCGGACTTTGCTGGAGAAGCGGTCGAGTATGTTCGTAAAGCTGCCTCCGTGTCGGGCAAGCACTACCCTGAGCGTTGTGCTTACATCTTTGTGATCAATGTGCCATCGTGGTTCAGTATGATCTGGAACACAGTCAAAGGAATGGTAGACGACGTGACTCGAGAGAAGGTGATCATTGTTCGTGGTAAGAAGAAGATATTTGAAGCGTTGTCGGAACGTATTCCAGTGGAGAATATCCCTGTGGAATACGGTGGAACAAGCGACGGGAACTCTCCAGAAGAAGATCTGCTGTTCAACCTCATGGCTTACGTGAACAATGACGAAGACGCTCCGGCATCGAACCCCATTGAAGAGATTCTTAAGAAGAAGCCCATCAAGCATTGACATGGCTGCTTGTACGGTCCAGAGTCTCGTTTGTCACCTCCTTAAACAACACAAATAAACAGCTAGGATTGAACTTGTTCGTCCGTGTCTTCCTGTTCTTCTTCGTCCATGTCGTCTTCATAGACGACGCGAGAGCGGCCAGCACTGTCGTTTTCTTCTTCATCATCCAAGTCTTCCTCCTCTTCGTCTTCTTTCTCTGCTTCAATACCAGCTGCAAGCTTCTCAACATTCGATCCGGCGTTGCGTTCTTCAATCAGTGACCTCTCGAAGGCCAGTTCCTCGTCTTCTTCTGCTTCATTATCTGCCTTTATCTCATTGTTTCCAGCGTTTGATTTCTTGCTAGTCGATCGACCAGCCAGCTCCTCTGCGTAGTCACTGAGTGCCTGTTTTTTTAAAGCATCCAGACGCTTGCGTCTCGTGTCTAACTCCGCTTTCGAGCGACCTACCATTGCGGCAATACGCAGCCTGATGATCTCACGTAGTGGCAAGAACATTTGCGTCGGATACCACCCTCCAAGTAGCGATGGTGTCGCCTGCTTTGTGAACTGAGCTGTCCATTCTCGCACCTCGTCGTCGTCAATTTCATCAAGCTGGAACAAGACATTCGGACTGGCCAATTGCACGCCAAAGATCTCAAAGATCTTGTCGCTGTTTTCTGATACCATGTTCGGGGCATTGTCAGCACTATCTGGCGCTCCATCGGACTCCTTATCCTCTTGCTCGTCTTCAGACTCCCAGTCATTTCCTGAATTAACAGTCGATGACGTGGGACTTGCTCGAGGCGGCGAGCCAACTGCGTTAACAGAAGAACCAGATCCGGGCATCGTGGGCTCCACAAGGTACGAGCGTCGCGTCTCACCTCGAGTAAATCGCTCCTTCCGACGACGTTTAGCAGCTTGTGCGTTCTCCAACGCCGACGTCTGCGTGACTTTAACAATTCGTGGACCTTTGACGTGACCACCTTCTCCATTCGCGTTGCCTGAGCTGGCACCGACGAATTTCTTGATACGTTTCCTGGTCGCATGCGTCACTTTTGAGTGCACCAGCTCGCGGTTATTTCTCAGCTCCACGACCTGGTAACGCGACGCCGACTCGGATTCTTCAGGAAGACGTGGATCGTACCCCATTTTGATCCATGAGCCTCTCCAAGGTCCATCGACAAACACGTAGCAGAATTTCCGCAGCAATCGACGAGCTGCTCGACGTTCAATTGCATCCAGTCCGTCGAACAGCTTTGAGCGTAGCCATACCGGTTTCTGCTCTAGTTTTCCCTGTAATATTTCCATTACACGTAAATCCACACCGTTGTCGTCCACACCGACCGATCTCCGACGCACCACAGGGCGTTCAGGCTTGGGTCCAACCGGTGCAGCGGTGTCGTCGTGGAAGTTCAGATACGTCATGGTACTGGACGTCTTCTTCGCTGTAGTGGTGGGTTGGTAGCCTGATCGTTGTCTGAATTCGTATTTAAGTGGCAAATCCACCTTGGAGAACACCTCGGGGATCATCTCCAGCTGCGTCTCGTTCTCTACTGCTAAGTACGGTCGTAAGCAGTCCTGAAGCTCTCGCTGTCGCAGTGACGGCATGGACAGCGGACCGTTTTCCACTACTGCGCTATTCATCACTGCTGTCTCCACTGCGTCGGTCGTGTTGGCGACGACTGTGAGCGCGTCTTTGCCTGGTTTTAACGTGGGGTAGAATGATCGCGCCGTGAAGTACTGGAAGTCGGCCATGCCTTCGCACACGTATTTTTCCTTTATCAGTCCCGCCACTTCGGCTTTAATACAGTAGCCATCAGTATTAATTGCCTCTGTATCGTTAGTTTCTTCCTTCTTCTCTTCTTCGCCGCGTTTCCGCTTGGAACGCTTCACTCGCAGCAAAATCATTTGCGTCTTGGTCAGATCTGCAAATAGAGGCTTGCATGACGGCTCTGAAGGACGTAGTTTTACTGGTAGGAATTGACTCTTAGTCTCATGCGCTTGTTGCAGATTTGCCAGTCCGTTTACCGTTTCCAGGACTTTACTCATGTCGGAGCCGTAAACGGGCAGCTCCAGTCCCACTAGCGGACGAGCCGTGTCGCTATGTAAGCTGATCTCATGGCGGATTTTGTGTGAGCGTGTTGACTCGCTGTTGACCGAATTAGAGGTGCTGGCGGTCTCTGAAGGCGACGCATCGGGTACTGCGACAGCGTCCTTCTTGGACTCCTCGTCGGCCATAGCTTTCGAATCGAAAGTTTCGCTTGTGGTTTATGAATTTTCAGGATACATTGTGTAATGTTTGCTCAATTATTGTGTATTACTTCACGAAGAAAAAAAAACCAGCAAATGACAAATATATACGAAAAATACATTACACGTTGAATAAATTAATTACGTACACGAGAAAATTACGGAATAAGCGACTATCGAAACATTAAAACGATGAGACCTTTTTGCAAAGGAAACCATCACTAAAACTACAGGAAGCCTATGACCATGGTACAGTAGTTTGCTTGCAGGCTATGAATTGCAGCACTGGATCGCATGAAAGGGAATGTATCCACTTGCCGCCACGACGTCTTGAACAGATGGGATGTCGGGTGGCTAGAAGTCTTGGAACTCGTCTGCTCTAGCTACTGGACAGGAGCAGTCGTCACGTCGAAGACGCTTGACGAGGTCGCCCGATTGAAGCTTAAGGGAAACCACGGGTGCGTTCGTGAAATCGTCGTCGAAATTGTCGGTGCAATCGCAGCCATGGCACACGGGGACGATGGGTGGCGCCACTTGGCGCTGGATGAGCTCGTCCCAGTTGAGTGCCAGTGTGAAGAACGGGTGTCCCATAGCTTGTGCGGCAGTGAGACGGCGAGCAGGATTCACACATAGCAAGCCCTTAAGCAGTGACATTGCATGACCCGAAAGATAGGGAGGATACCAGACACGCCCTTGCTGGATAAGTCTGAAAAGGCGGTGCATATCGTCGCATTGGAAGGGGGGAGAGCCCGTCAGCAGCTCGTAGATGAAGCAGCCGAAGGACCACATGTCCGTCTCCATACCGTGGCCGTTCTTCTTGACCATCTCAGGCGACAAGTACTCGGGGGAACCGCAGAACGAGTAGGTGCGTTGTCCAGGACCCATGTCCTGTTTGGCAAAGCCAAAGTCAGCCAGCTTGACGTGTCCTTGAGCGTCGAGTAGAACGTTCTCTGGCTTAAGATCGCGGTACACGACGCCATTGACGTGTAGCTCACTGAGTGCTGCGAGCACTTCAGCGGCGTAGAACCGCGTGGTGTTTTCGTCGAATTTCTGCGCGAATTGCTGTTGCAAGTGGAAGAAGAGTTCGCCTCCTTGACAGTATTCAAGTACGAAGTTTAGATCGCGGTCGGTTTGAAAGGATGAGTAGAGCTTGACGATGAATGGGTGGCCGCCTAGTTTTTCAAGCACCTTCTTCTCTGCGAGCGTGTGGACGACTTGTTTGCGTTGAACTAGCTTGCTTTTGTCCAATGTCTTGACGACGTACATGCTCTGCGTTTCGCTGTGACGGGCGAGTGCCACTTGACGTGCAAACGTGCCTCGACCGATGACTTTGAGCAACTTAAGCTGGTGCGGATCAATGGCAGCGACGGACTCGTTCTTGGGGCTTACCGAGCCACTTACACCAACCGTCGGCCTGGGAGTTGTGAGGTCATCGGCCGAGACGTCGGGCACCTCTTCCAACGGCCGCGGGGGAGACAACGGACGCTTCTTGGTGGAGTGGGGCTCGCTCGTTTGCACAGTTAGCGACGCAGGAGACAGCACCGCCGCCATGCTGCTCGATGGATCGATGCGGTTACGGGTGCGGTAATTGTGACGGGGTGAGTGACGAAGCGAGTGGCCGCTTGGATGGTCTTCGCTCACGAGATGTACTTGTGACTTGAGCTCTGCTGGTTCAGAGCAATTGTGATGGAGCTCTCGCTTTGGTCTGTCTATTTTGAGCCATTTCTATGGAGTTGCGAACCCACCCTACGGGAAAGACGTTTGGCGGTATTGTACATTTTATTTGACAGTTTCTATGCTGGCGATAACACGCTACTGTACGTGTGCCATGCTCTTCGAGCACGCAGGAATTCGAGCGATTATTGGTAGAAAAGCTGTCCCATGAAACTGGTGCTTTAAACGATTTTATAACCAATGGGATTCTTGTTTCAGGCGACAACGAAACGTCGTGGAGCTCACTTCAACATGTGCCAGCGCACACCCATACATTTGATGCCGACCAGCGCCACTGTGCGCCATTCTGCACAAGGTAATAAAGCTGACGCCACCCATTGCCACAGCTGACAAGCCCTCGTGGGCGTTGGCGATTCTCTTTGTCCTGCGTTAGCTCACGTGAAACCGTCAACGGTTCGCTGAGCGCTGGGAATCCGTCAACTGCGGTAATACAAGTCGCATGAAAGAGACCCAAATGAACTGTTCGTGAGTGGTTTTATTACGACATGGGACGAAATGCTTGCGGCACGTAGTCTTGTCATGGCTTACTTGGAGAGATCTCCTCGCGGTATGATGCTCACACGCGCCGGCGCTGTTCGACTACACCAGCCCCATCGCACAAAAACAGGAACAGCAAACGCAGTATCAACAACAACATCGCACGACAACAGCAGCAGCACGCGCAGTAGCACGATGCCATCAGCAGTAAGAATCTTTAAAGACTTTCGTAATAGGAAGATTTGATCGATATTAAGATTATATCATTGCAATAAAAGTCGCTGGTCTCAGAAATGAGACAAGCGAAAAAATTTTACTGTACCGAAACAGGTACTGTACTTTTCAGAATATGAGACTCATGTGTATCTTTCAAAAACATCCCATGACGCCCCTAGAGGTTATGCAACGGATTTTTACTGCAAAGGAAAAAATCTAACAAAAACACAAAATAATAGAAAGTTGCTGGGCAATTTTTGTAAGAAAAAATCAGGGGACAAAAATCAAAAATATGCATCACCCAAACCTTGAAGAAAAACCCAGAATCCAATCCTCATGTTGGGCGCTTCGGTTCCACGGCCGCTCAGTGCGCGTAAGGGTCTGCGGAACGACCTGGGCGCCAACAACTGCTTCCTGAACGTGATCATTCAGAGCCTATGGCACGTGCGAAGCTGTCGTGTGCTCATATCCATGGGCGACCACGCCGTGCACCACCGCTGCGGCGGCAAACCCACGAACGCCAGCTCAATGCGGACAGAGACCATCACTCCTTGTCTTTTGTGCGAATTGGAGCAGATCTTTGTCATGTACCAGTTCGCAGAGCAGCCCGTACTGGACGTAGACCGTGTACGACTCGCACTGGGCGATACGTTCGCTCTCGGGGCTATGAACGACGCCACAGAGACGCTTGAGACCATCCTAGACGCTCTACACTACGACACATTTAACCGGATGCTGCTATTGCGTCACAGAGGCTGCGCACATAGTAGCGGCGTCCACAAGGTGGAGGAGATGTCCGAATCCGTACGGGAGGACGCGTCCGCCATCATCTGTGAGCCCCAGTGTGTGGCCCACCGACTGTTCCAAATGAACCTCATGGAGCTTAAAATCTGTGCCTCTTGTGGCCACACCGCTGAACCTTTAATGAATACAGACTTCCTGTATAGAGTATACGCTCAAGAACTACTTAATAGTGCACGCGCTGGAGGAGACAAGAAGCATGTGACGCTAGAAGAAGTACTGCGAGCTGAAGCGCAGTCACAAGAAGTAGCTGGGACCTGTGACGAGTGCGAGAAAGGCAACCAACGAGCATTAAGTCGGTGGATCCTCACACTTCCGATGGTGTTCTCCATCAGTATCATTTGGTCCAGTAGTCACGTCAACAAGACGGATATTAAGGACTGGATGCAGCTCTTATCGACGCAACGTCAAGGCGACGAGGAGTCCCAGCAAGCTCTGGATTTAGGACGGATTTTCAGACTGGACAACTCAGCGGAAGTGGCTTCTGTGTACTCATTCAGAGGACTCGTGTGCTACTATGGTCGTCACTATGTGGGGTTCTTCTCTAGTAGACTAAATGAGGACGGAGTGGAGAAGGAACGCTGGTTCCTGTTTGACGATACGCGTGTTAAACTTGTAGGCACGTGGGCGGATGTGAAGCTACGTATCGAACGCGGAGGATACCAACCGACACTTTTGTTCTATGAACGCAATGGAATTGAACATGAAAATCTTGAAAAGATTGCGTCGGAGATCCACAAATGGTGGGAAGCGTCCGCCGATGAACCGGATGAGACCAATAATAACGAAAAAACAGAGAAAAAAGCTGCAGAAGCGGTGGTAAAGAACGGTAAAGGTGCGCCGCATGAAGTGGAATTTGGTCTGGAAGACGAGTTGCTAGCGAAGATGGAACGAAGTGTCCGTATCACGCAGGAACACCCACTCCCACCGTTAGTCCAAGCGGGTCCTACAGCAGTGCCCACAAGTCCGATTTCGCTGCCTCCTCGCGCTCCAAAGTCGATGCCTGTGAAGAATGCAAATGGATGGCGTGATGAGGATATCCATCTGCATATTGCACACCAATCAGCACAAGATACACTGTCGCGATTAAATGGGATCTTGTCGAAAGATAAGGTTCCAGTCTCGACGCCAGTTGATGGACGAGCGGTGCTACGTATGGCCATGTCCCAATCCATGCGGAACTCTGTGCGTCTACGTGATTACTCGACTCATCGTCCTACTGAGAAACAAAGGGAAGTGAACCCGGACAAGATTTTCGAAGACGACACACCTGCGATTACAGAGGAGCAAGACGCTACAGCTGATAAAACAACAGAAGTCTCTCAAGCTCGGGTAAAGATATATGACGTACGCCTCAATGCATCGGACGGAGGCATCGGCTTGTTGCTGGAAGAGACTAGTGACGATGATTCGTCATCGGACTTTAAAAAAGCGTTTATTGTGTCGGGCTTCGAAGTTAACGGCGCAGGCGAGAAGCTACCAGCTGAAGCTAGCGGTGCGATTCGCGAGGGAGATATTCTGGTCGGCATCAATGGTCATATGCTGGAGAATGAAGAACTTGTGGACGTGTTGGAGATGTTGCTCATGTCGCCGAACCCAGTGCAGCTCAAGTTTTATCGTTTCCAACCGTGGGCGTGTCCCCGCTGCACGCTGTTAAACAACAGCATCGATTCGGCTTGTGCTGCTTGTGGAAACGCCCCAGTAGTGCCAAGCTAGGCAGCAAGGATGGAGAGTAATATCTGCTAGCAAATATTTGCAATCTTATTGTATTTTTTAGACGTATGAACTCATAAAAAAACTGTAAGAGTACCTTCAGTTGAAAGGAGCAATTTCAATTGCTTTTAGCAAGAGATTTTTAATTACCGATATTGTACATTTCAATGTGTTTGTCCTCTTCACTTTGCCTACTGCTCGATTTATAATAAAAAGAGGTCGTTTTATTAAATTGCAGTTTAATAAAAGTACAAATCCATCTTGCTAGACTGGCTGATAAATCGAGCTACGGCAGCCAAATCGACCGCTCGGGATCGATCAACCACCAAATCTACATCGATATCCTGTAAATCGACCCTTTTTGCCGTTTTTAAAATGATAATTCGACCACAGATAAAAATTTTATTTAATAATTGATGCCTGCCTCTTCCCATCTCATTGTACGCGTGGTTTTATGCTCTCGATCTAGGCTATAAAACGGATAAATATTCCATCTACAAAGCACAATAACTATCGTCATTTTTGTGGCCCGAAAAAGGAGATTGTTGTTTTGGCGACCACAGCTTATTATATTTCAAGCATTCCGTAGCTTTCAAGGGCTCAAGAGATAGAGGAGACGCCGCGTAAAGTGCTTATATCACGATTCGTACTCTCGTTCGCAAGCGTCTCAAATGATCATAACAATATATTTGTAATGATATTGTAATATTTATTTCACAATCAGACGTATAATATTATTGAAGTATTACAAAAGTGTATTGGTGCCTGTAATTAAAAGGCAGGTGTTGGAGGCCAGGATTATTTACATGGAACTGTACACGATTAAGGTCAGGATTAATCCTGGACGTCAAATCCTATCTTATTTGAGTAGCCATATGGGGAAGATACGGGAAGATTCGTTGAGGACGAGAAAGATACCTAACGTGTCGCTGTCCTTCTTCCAGGATTAATAATGTACGTTTCATGATTAAATCATGTTTTAAGAATACGTACAGTAATGCTAGTAGCTTTTAACAGGATTAGTACTGGAATCTCCATAAATAAAATCCTGGAAAGATCTCTTATAGGCTTTTATCTCGTCGATCGCATTGAGTTCCGTGCACGACAGGCTCAAGCTCACCATTCCTGTGCTTCAGTTTAATGAGATCGCTCTTTATTCTGCAGGGTCAAAGCTGAAAAGACATGTATTTGGGTTTTTGCAGGTCTTGAAAGGCAACCATCCAGCCAAAGCTACATTTAGACCCGCGTTTGTGCAACTTCTTGCTTCTGCGTTGGCTCCACTTGTTCTTCTTCGTGGGTTTGCTGCATATCTTCATGTTGAGCAACAGCAGGGCGCTTTTCCTCCGTGTCATCTTGTTCAGCACTGACCGATGGCTGTACAATATGGGCAGCAGATGATCTTTCAGCATGTAGTAGAAAAGCTCGAAACGACGCTTCGTGAGAGATGCAACGCTAATATCCACGGGGTGTCCAGTAGAGACTTGCCTAATGAACATCCAGCAGACGTAAGCGCCGCAGCTGAAACCATCAAACTGGATGGGATTGTTTTGAAGGATCACGTCGTACTCGGTAAGTCCACCAATCTTGAGGCTGTTAGCAACAGCGTTGGCAGCTTTAATGTACGGACCTTGGTTTAGCGGGTCGTAGTAGTAGATCCGCTTTGCATGAGCTTTCACAACAACGCAACACCAATGAAAATTCGAGAAGTTCAACGGGAGCAGTACCGTATCGACTCCATCTTCACGGGCCATCTTTATTACTCGTTCGAGTGTGGCGTGGTCAGCCACAGGCTCTTCGGTCCGCGTTCGCTTGGATCTTGCTACTGCTGACTGAAAGCCGGCAAATCTGCACGAAGAATAATCCTCACAGAGCCGAATGCACAAAGCCCTTATCGAGGCATCTGATAGCCATGTTGGAGGGGAAGCTCTGTAGAGCAACGCATACTGGAAATCAGATAGGTTGGGAAGGCCCTCGATTCTCTTCTTCGGGTAGCTGGATAGCCATGTTGGAGGGGAAGCTCTGTAGAGCAACGCATACTGGAAATCAGATAGGTTGGGAAGGCCCTCGATTCTCTTCTTCGGGTAGCTGGATAGGATTTCGTCAGCAACTGAGGTCGCAATTGCGTAGTACTCAGCCGGTAGTGAAGGACATCCTTCTTGTACAAGCCACTTATGCGTATCCAGTCCAACTTTCACCACTTGCATAAGATTATGCACTCGCTTGAAGGTTTCAATTTGAGCTCGCGAAAAATTGCCCACACCTTTTATCCAAATCGTCTCCACGGATCCTTGAAGTTGCGCAGATCCGGTGTCTTGGCTGTTTTGGGAATCATCTATGGATATGGCCTGGTTTGCTGTGTTCGACACCGGAAGGAGCTTCATACAAGCATCCAATAGCTTCTCCGGAAGTATGTAGAACGGGTCCAGGATGAGAACAGGATTTTTCAGGATTTTGAACTTAGGCTTTTTGTTCTCGGCCTCGCCGTGTTTCATAAGTACCCCAGACAAACGCCTTTGTGTCTCCATCAACCCCGGTTGCTCACGGCCCAGAGAGTTAATTAAAGCGGTCAAAGTTACCTCTCCTGCGACCTTCCGCCCTGCTTCCGAGGCCCCATACCACTTTCGACCTTTTTTTTTCGCCGGCGCTGGTCGATTTCTTCTGTTTTTGAGGACGACCCACCTTTTTGGCCTTGGGATTGAGCCGAATCTTCACCTTCCCACTCGATTTGGATGCTTCTTCACCTTCGCTCGAACTAATGTTGAGCTCTGACTGGATGTCGTCTTCTGTGAAAGTACGTACAGGGATCTGTTTATCTGCATCCTCTTCCTCTCCATCAACGCACTATTCATCTCCTTGCCATTCTCCCCATCTTCAGATTTCCTCATCGGTACACTTTTCCGCTGGCGCACGTTCCTCCACTGATCTAAAACGAACCGAAGCATTTCCTCAAACTCCACTTCGTCCTCTATATCCGCCATTTCATTAGCGATAAAATGAGTGGCCTTCACCGCTTCGCGATATCGTTCTGAGTGCGTCCTCAGTTTTTTTTTGGTCGATCCACTTTCTGCATTAGTAAACTTCTCATAACTGAACTGTTAAACCTTATTCAAAGGGCGCGACGAACAGGTCCACCTATACAATCGTTCACAAACCATGAAAACATAATGCAAAAATGCAGTATTAGTATAAGTACAAATGATGAGTAAAAGTAGCGAAATCATGGAAAAATCCTGGATTCGCCAAAACAAATCATGGAAAATCATGAATCATCACAATTTCACCTTTCATCGATGCGATTCCAGGGGATAAACGGGACCGATAACATTGGTGTGCTTGCGGTATGCGATGGCATGGCAACACGGAAGGCACATCGACAAGGAGAAATCGCAGTCACATCTCCAATCATCAATCCGCAGATTGTGCTCCGAGAAAACTCCTCCAACGACCACGTGATCAGCATCGTCGGGATCAACAGTGAAACTGTACACTGCCGCTTTTGACAACGCGGTGGCGTACTGGTGTTCAGTTTGTTGCGCCACAAAGTGAGTTGTAAATCGTAGCACGTTGTTCATCTCCTCGTCGTAATTGCTATTAACAAACTGTCCAATTCGAGACAATCTGTACTTGTACTCGTTTTCAACCCGGCGATCATAAGCAATCAGAGCCTTTACACAGCCTGCCATACGCATACTTCCATCGACCGCGTCCTTCAGTTTTCCAAAGAAATTCTCCAGTCGATTGTTAGTGTGATTCTTGAAGTGAGACAGTTTCGATCGTAGATAGTAAACCCACCCATCTTGACAGGAATCCCAATTTTTCTGAAAATAATAAAAAAATCCAACCAGACCAATGCGCTGACATAATCATTTCAGAGACTTGTGTGCAGTCTTGTACTGTTCTTCACAAACCGCGTATACCATCTTGTGAATAGCACCGTCGATCTGACTTACATCTTCGTTTGAAACTTTTTCAAATTCGGGCCTCGATCGCATTTCTTTAAGGTATTTAATCACATGAAAGTGACAAATGAGAATTCGCGCCTCGGGAAAATTTGATTCTAGAACACGAATTTCATTCAGATCCTTGTCGACGACAAGGACTCGAAGCATGCTAATTCGCGTAGGATGAGACCTTTTGAAATGGTCTATGGCCCTCTCCATGTGCCAGTCTCCATTGGCTTCGATTAAGGACTGCTGCACCACTGTCCCCTCTCCAAATTCATTCATAGCCATGAACGTAAGAAGCTGGTAACTGTATCTAGAAATAAATTATAGAAAAGCCTGGTTAATCATGTAAAAATCCTGGACAATAAACTAATGCAGTACCGGTTGGTCTTGTGACTGCAATCAACAAGCAGAACTTCGCTGAACCGACTGTAAATACGGCGCATATGTGCTGTAACAAGAGATATCACACCGGTCTCACCAGCATCCGTTTCAGACACTATACATACATTTCTGGGTCTGCAGCTGCAAATATCACAATCTCCCGAGCTGTGGCGTCGTTATCGTCCAAACTGGAAATGCTAGAGCCGTGGTCACGAACTAAGTTGTCGACGTCTACCTGGATCACGTTCTGATCGTGTTCAAGTAGATAATCGTAGATCTTCGAACGTTTTGCGCCCACAGATAGCATTCCTTGCACTCGAGCGTCTACGAGTGGGTCTGCGACGCCCCGAGATGCTGGATAAGTAGCGAAAGCAGCCGGTGACACTCTATGGTTGTGCACGAAGGTTCCGTTTTTCAGTTGGAGCTCACCACGTGATAAATTCCGAACCGGAAAGGGCAGTCAGTCAAGCGTATGTGCTGCCGCGGCCTGCTTCCTTCACTGCGTAATTTCCGCTTCTTCCAGCCATGAGTGCAGATATATGTTCGTTGGTAGGGGTCAAATTGCTTTGGTACCAACTGCGAATCGTCTCCTCCCTTCCTTGTCTTCTTTAGGCGCTTGTTCCTCTCTGCTCTTGACATTGTCTCCTTCACTGGTAACACTTGCATCGTTCTCTGGCAGTAATCGGCAAAGTAGGTTTGCCATGCCTCCCAGCTTGTGTGTCAATTCACCGGCGCTTCAACAGGTACAAGAGCCAATTCTGCAGCAAATCCTCCATCATCCTCTTCCTCTCCACCATCCGATTCTGAAGCACGCCCTGATTTTACATCCTCCGCGTCGGGATAGTCACTTCCACGGTCGTTTCTAGGGATGGCGGGACCGCCACCGGTTTCCAGCGGATTGTCTTCTTCGTTACTAGCCGCTTCCGCAGCTTCAGACACTCCAGACACTCCAGCTTCTTGCGTATCACTTAGCCCAGGACCTCGACGTCGCGGAGAGAGATCCCTGTTGCCTTCACGCGCGCTCCGAGCGCTTACATCGCTTCCGCCGACGTTACGCGTCATCTTATCGGGAAGCGGTAGAAACGCGAATGAGAAAAAAAAGTTATACATTTCGGAAATAGGCGAATCGGGGATTTTATTTTACTTCCAATCATGGACAGACCCATGATTGGAATCCTGTACTAATCCATGTAAATAATCATGGCCTCCAACAGGCGCGTAATTAAAATAACCCCTTCAACCCGGTAGCTGTATAAGCTGCGTTAGGGCTCAGGAAGATGCCCCGGTTATGAGGGATTATGCTGTATACACAGCATAAGGAAATATAAGCTTGCTTTCACTATGGCCCTGGCGTTTGCACATCCTTTCGGTATACAAATTTTATAAAACGGGTTGGAGCACGAAAAGAGACCGATCGCCTTTTACATAGAGTAGGGGTTACATTACCACTCTCCAGCTTCTCGACTTTTCGTATGCAATCTGACGGTTTGAAACAATCATTCAGATAAAATGTTGAATTTTAGAGGAGCCTTTCACGCCAAATCACCCAGGCCAGTCACTTGAGATTTTGCGCGGAGAGAAGAAAAGCGATGGTGGGGACGCGTGACAGCGCTTCACGTGAAGACGCAGCGGCAGTACCCGAGGAAGAGCGTGGGACAAACCACTTCCGTCTTATCTGACCGGAGCTTAATAAAGTGGGGTGGACGTCGAAGGCACCGCCTCTCGCGGGATTGAGACGCGATGGAAGTACACCCTGTCAGGTGGTAGTGCTAATGGCACCGTTGGCCTCGACTACGTCCTGGGGGAGCAAGCCGTGGTAAACTACGCTTTGAAAAGTGAGTTGTTTGTGTATTGTTATGCTATCTGTATTCTAATGGCTTGTATCGCATGTTCAGTGAGCCAGCAGTCCGCTATCGACCGAGTCCGCGCCACAAAAGCAGATGAAGCCGCTAAAGCGGCTACTGCACAACTTGCATCGACTGTTGGGCTTCAATCGCCTGGGCACAAGCCGCCCACGAAGAAGAGATCGTCGTCTAGGTCCCCAGCTAGAAGGTCTAAGTCCCCTACTAGAATGGCGACGGCCACGTCGCCAGTGCGAGCACCTGCATCCCAGTCAGCAGCGCATGAAAGTCCGAAAGGTACGGGTGCTCGGGTACACTCATCAATTTATCATTAACCTGTATGCGTAATTCTGTATATTTTACTTTACTGTGATACGGCGCTGGCAACAAGTGCATCTTCGGCAAGCGCTTCCAAAATTCCACCACCTCCAACACTTGCGGCACCAAGTCTGGTGTCACCAGAAGGTATGCTACAAGGAATATTTAACCTTTTGTCTATTCATGCTAATCTGTATGCATCATATTTGCTGTGCTGAAATAAGTAGAACCCGATAGAAGCCAGGCCTCGTCTTCTCATACAAGTGGAGAAGAACCTGCGCCGAGTAATAAGAGGAAACAAAGTCGGGCGATGTCAGGTGACGATGGACCAGAGCAAGCGGA